ATATATATGTGTATAAAATTTAAATGATACTTTTGTGACATATTTAGAATTTTGAATATTTGTAACCTTTTTTATATTTTACATTATTTGTTTTTGTTTTTTTGTGCAGTGTTTTTAAGTAGTTTATTTTTGTTAGAGATTTTGCTAGGATTGTCCTTTTACAGATGTAATATTTTTAATATTCTTCCCTTTGTCTTTCCACAGGATGTTTTTGAGTTCCGCTTCGCAAAGATGCCTGACGAAGTTTCGGAGGAGGAGGAATTGTCTCCCATGCCATTAGGACGGACCATGGGCATGCTGGGAATGCACCACTCCTCCTCTTCATCATCCTCATCCTCCTCCTCTTCCTCCTCGTCGGAGAGCGAGCCGAGGAGCGACAGTGAGCCGAGCAGCGACAGCAGCCCGAGTTCTGACAGCGAGGAGGAGAGAGCTCAACGCCTGGCCCAGCTGCAGGACCAGGTGTGTACTCAGGTACACAAACCTTCCTGTTACGCTCTACTTCATACATGCACATTACACAGCATGAAATCAAAGTCCTCTTTTACTTTTCTCTCGTCTTACTGTGCATGGTTCATTCATACATCTTTATAATATCTTACATGTTAATCTAAAGGAAGAGTGTCATGACTGTGACTGTCATAACTCGATAGTATCTTTCATCTTTTAACATGTAGTATATGTCTGTGCTTTAGCTCAGAGCAGTACATGAGCAGCTGGCAGCCCTCTCCTCCGGCCCGATTGTCAAACCTAAAAGGAAACGAGAGAAAAAGAAGGACAAGAAGAAGAAAAAGAAGCCAGTGAAACGCAGAGGAAGTCGAAGTTTGATGAGTGATGAGCGGGAGAAACCTTCCAAACTGCCTAAAAGCAAATCCAGCCATGCTTCCCTGTCATCCACACAGAGCAAGAAAGGCCCTGCGAAGAAAAGCAGCAAGAACAAGTTTGTATTTTTCTCATCACTTGTTCTTACTGTAGCTGTGGAGTAGCTGATATGGATGGGAATTTAATTATTCTGTCCCTAATAGTTAGTCCAAACTAGTTTTGTTACTGTTAACTAAAACTAAAACTAAAAATAATAAAAATCATTTCCGGTAGTTGAAATAAATCTGAAATACAAAAAAAAAATAAAAAATATTAGATGAAAAAATTCTAAGAAATTAGAAATGTTGCCTTGGCAACTAACTGAAATAAATAAGTTGAAGTTGAAGTACAAGAATTATTAAAACAGAATCAAAAATAAATTGAAGCTACATAGAAATATGTTAAAAATAATGACAAAGTTACTATAATTAAAATTAAAACTAATTCAAAACATGTTATTGTATATTAGTATTATAAAAGTATATAAACAATACCAAAACAACAGTGGTCCAAACTGTATTTTTATAGGTCTAAATATATATTTTTAATAATTCTATGTGATTTTAATTAATAATAAATAAATACAAATTATAATAATTAATACATTTTAAATAATGAATACTACATTAATTAATCATTAATTTTAAGAAAAATACACTTTAAATACATTCAGCTTTAATACATGTATTATCTAAACCATATTTAATTTTTCATTTGATCATTTTTAAAGTAGCATTTATTGCAACAAAAAATATTTTAGCTACATGTTATGAACAACCAGTTGTCTACACCGATTCAGTTAGTTAGTTGTTGGATTAATTCAAACCAATAACAGTAGACTGATTCAACACAATAACCCAGATGCTGAAGAACCGTAGTAGCATTTAGTTAAAGATCTAAACCGGTAACTAAAATGTTCTCATAAGGAGCAGCAAATCTTCATCTACCAGCCCAGATCTTTAACCAGCAGCTTCACCCTCCCTCTGTTCACTATTACAAGTCTGTTTATTTTCTTTACTGGCAGGAGCACAAAGAAATCATCCCCATCTCGTTTCGCCGTGGCTGCTGCCGTCTGCTTGCCGCACTACGACTCTGAGGAGGAAGAGGACGGCCTTCCCATGAGTTATGACGACAAGCGGCAGCTCAGCCTGGACATCAACAAGCTGCCCGGGGAGAAACTGGGCCGCGTGGTGCACATCATCCAGTCGCGGGAGCCCTCACTGCGCGACACCAACCCCGAGGAGATCGAAATCGATTTTGAAACACTGAAACCGTCCACACTCCGTGAGCTGGAGCGATATGTGATGACCTGCCTGCGCAAGAAGCCCCGCAAACCATATGGTGAGCTGAGATTTAATGCTTGTTACCTGTGACATCCCGAGTAAGGCTAGATGAGAAATCAATTTTTCATATGCATCATTATTTGCAAGTGGTTGCCAACTCAAACTTGCTGTCAAAATGAGTTATGATTAGTGGTCTAAGTATAAAAAAAACCCCCGTTTATTATATGTGATTTTTTTTATTTTTATCATATAATTCATCCTTAAGTTATATACTTTTAAAATATGTCTCTGGTCTTATTGTGCACAGTTAATTTTTACACATTTTCCATTTATACTGAATTATACTGATTTTGTTTTAAGTATTCAGATTTGTTTAAATCTTAATATATTTTAATTAATAAACCTAGAAAAATATATATAATTTAGTAAATGTTATGTAAAATAAATACACATTTAATTTACATTTTTACTTCATCTTTAAATTAAATAGTTTGATATCATATATATCGGCATTATATTGGTTAGTGGCCACTCTGCTCTCTAAAATATCAGCATCGACCATCCAAAAAAATAAAAAAATCTATATTTGTTGACCACTAGTTATAATGCACGTTTTAGCTGGAACTTGTTGTTGTGCGATGCATCAAGTGTAACCGAGATGTGTCCTGTGTGCAGTGGTGAAGAAGGGAGGAGGTGGAAAGAGCCGAGAGGAACTGACTCTGGAGAAGAAGAGAGAGCTGGAGAGGAGGTTACAGGATGTGAGCGGACAGCTGAACTCTGCTAAGAAACCCCAGAAACCCAAAGGTAGGGCTGAAAGCAGCTTCTGAAGTGCTCTGCAGTATGTTCTCTAGCTGCTCTATTATGGCTTGGTGTCTGGGACTCAACAGTAAGTCCGGTCTGATGGCCTGAGGCTGGTGTAATCGAGGTTCAGGCCAGTGTTGCCTTTATGGGGTCAATTTAATATACAGTGGGTACGGAAAGTATTCAGACCCCCTTAAATTTTTCACTCTTTGGTGTGTGTGTGTGTGTGTGTGTATAGAGCTGATGTTGAACAAGCAGACAAGAACTTTCAGCATCTAAGAGCGGCTTGGTTCACAAATAATGCCACTCCACACAAACTTGCAATTTGGGAACAAAACATTTGCCAACCATCTTCCCTTGTAATGAGAAGTGCTTATAAACCAGCTATTGCCAGCAAAAGAAAAGGCTTTAAGGGCTCCCTGTGCTTTTCCAACAAAATAAAAAAGCTTGATGGTTTAACATTTGAAAATAAAGAAATTAAGCCATAAATATTAGTTTTGTAATGTTACAGCTCTATTGTAAAAGAAAATAAATTATATTTGTAATTATTATTATTATTAGTTGTAAATTATAAAAAAACAATAAATACTTAAATACTTTTAATACCATTATTTTTAAGACATTTTATTGCAATAGTAATATTTCTTATTTTGTTAATTTTTTATAATAAAAAAACAAATATTTTAACAATTAATATTTCAGTTGTATTAAAACTAAAAAATGTAAAAAAAATTATAATTATAGAACATTATAATAATATTTACGTTATAATAAAAAAACAATTAATATTTCAGTTGTATTAAAAATAAAAAATAGTAAAAATAATTATAGAACATTATAATAATATTTATATTATAATAAATAATAAAAAAAACAATGAATATTTCAATTGTATTAAAAAAGTCAAAAATAAGTATAGAAAATATTAAAAAGTATTTCATAGTAATAATGCTAAATACTTTTTATACCATTATTTTTAAGACATTTTATTGCAATAGTAATATTTCTTATTTTGTTAAATTATTTTATAATAAAAAACAAACAAATATTTTAACAATTAATATATTTCAGTTGTATTAAAACTAAAAAAATTGTAAAAAATAATTATAGAACATTATAATAATATTTACATCATAATAAATAATAAAATAAATAATGGTAATTAAAAATATTATATATAATTATAATAATAATTTATTTTTTATTTATTTAATAATAATAGTAATAATTATTTAAAAAATCATTACAATTCAAAATGAGAGTTTTGTGGCTTTTAATCTATGTCTGTTTGCTTTAAGGTCATCTATATGCTTAAAAGCTGACAAAATTAATATAGTTTAGCACATATACACATTTAAAATGTACAGCATTTTCTCTCAGGAAAACACACAAAAAATATGAATTATGAATTATTAGGGATTTATATAAAATTATAATGTAAATCATGTAGGGAGTTAGGTTTTCAGTCAGTTATATTAATATATTTTTATCCATTGTATTCTAAGCGATTATAAACATGTGAAAAGTATATATTTAGAAAAAAGATATTTAAAGGTGACATATTATGCCCCTTTTTACAATTGTCAACATGTAATAGATGTCTCAGGTGTCCCCAGAATGTGTCTGTGAAGTTTCAGCTCAAAATACTCCACAGATCATTTATTATATAATTTTGAAAATGCCTATTTTGAGTGGAAGCAGAAACACGCTGTTTTTTGGGCCTGTCTTTAAATGCAAATTAGCTGCTGCTCCCCGCCCCTTTTCCAAAATAGAGCTGCGCCTTTACAGCTCGTATCTGCTAAAATACATCAGATTTTTTTTACACGATTGAATCAATGTGAAATGACACTTTTTGTCATAAATCTGTCTGATTAGGCATCTGTGAAGTTGTAGTGAATATATTCATTGAAAAGAACAGCCATAACGCCTCACTGGACCGGAGGAGATGGACTGGATTTGTTCATGAGCACTAGAGAAAAGCTGCTAGATTCAGTGGTTTGAATTAGCTGTTTAAGTTGAATGTTAACTTGAGAGATCTGGTTTGTAGAGGACACTAGAGGCTTCGCATTTAAGCAATAGACCATCATTTATTTCTTGTATATATATATGGAGTCCGTAATACCATGTTTTTGCTTCTGCTGCTTTCTTGTTTGTATTTATTTGCATTGCTCTAACCTCTCTTTTCTAGAATATTCTTTTTGAATATATAAGACACATAGCAGATCATTGTGACCCAATATTCCTTATCTGCAGTATAATTAAGAGTTTATGTGCTCCGGATTATACGCTGCTTTTTATTTGGATGGAAATACAAATACAACAAGTGAACGGTTTGAAGTGGTGTTTCAATATTTTATTTCATATTTAATAAATTTTTTGGTTGGTACAGCTCAGCAGCCTTGCAAAACAGGATATGCTTGAAAGAACTATGCGCATGTTTAAATAGTGTTTACAAGTAAACGTAGTCACTGCAAGAAATAGAGCACAAGTGCTTTCGGTTTCGCTCAAGGGTAATCTTGCAAAATGTTATTACAATATAAAATAATAGTTTCTATTTTAATATACGTTAAAGTATAATTTATTTCTGTGATGCAAAGCTGAATTTCCATCAGCCATTACTCCAGTGTAAAGTGTCACATGATCCTTCAGAAATCATTCTAATATGCTGATTTATTATTAGAATTATCAACAGTTGTGCTGCCAAATATTTTTTGGGAAACTGCGATGCTTTTTTTCAGGATTCTTTGATGAATAAAAAGTAAAAAAGAACAGCATTTATTGAAAATATAAATCTTTTCTAACAATATAAATTTTTGCTATCACTTCATTGCTCCCATGATACTTTTTGTGCAGGTCTAATTATGCACCACAAAATAAAATTTTTAAAAAACTGTACTAGCTGTTGTTTATTCTCATTCTTATTCATGCCAAAAGTACCAGTGATTTTGGATTTTATACTGTCACCTACTGGCCTACGTAAGTATGTTTATAAAAGCATAGGGAAGCGGTTTTCTTTTCAGGCCTGTTTTTCAGTCTTTTTCTGTCTATTTTTCTACTACTACTACTACTCCTCCTCCTCCTCCTCCTCCTCCTCATCTGACACCAGTGACTCGGACTCCAGGTGAAGAGGACTCTGGGAAGGCACAGGAAGTGGGAATTCTGGGATGCATTCAGAGCTGTGGCCTGCCGTACAGACACGTTCTTTCCCATGCCTCCTGAATCCAGGAACTATGTTTACTTGAGTGTAAAAAAAAAATGTATATACTATGTAGGATTTTTTTTTTCTTTTATAAAGAAGACTTTTACCAAAATGCCCATACTGGGAAAGAGTGCGTAATCATAACTACTTTTCTTAGTTGATGAAATAGCTTGTTGTTTTGTTTTGCTTCCATTTTGACCGTTTAATTTAGTCTTCAAACATTTCTACTTTTCTTCTTTCTCAAGATCAGGGCCAGTATTTAGATCTCTGAGCAACCAAAACTTGCCTGAGGGTTGATAAAGGACCTTTAATTGGGAAATGCGAAAGAAATTACAGAATTAAGAACAACTTTGCATTTGCATTGGCTTTAAAACTTGTAGGTTTCTGCACTGCGATGCACTGGACTGTTTTGGGATTTTTGTACGCATGATATATTCAGTAACTTTCCATACGGCTTTGCAATTCTGGTGAGTGAATGAAACCACTCTAGTTTCATCTTAACATTGCTTTGAACTGTAAGAAATGGATTTGATTTGATTTTTTTTACACGATTGAATCAATGTGAAATGACACTTTTTGTCATAAATCTGTCTGATTAGGCATCTGTGAAGTTGTAGTGAATATATTCATTGAAAAGAACAGCCATAACGCCTCACTGGACCGGAGGAGATGGACTGGATTTGTTCATGAGCACTAGAGAAAAGCTGCTAGATTCAGTGGTTTGAATTAGCTGTTTAAGTTGAATGTTAACTTGAGAGATCTGGTTTGTAGAGGACACTAGAGGCTTCGCATTTAAGCAATAGACCATCATTTATTTCTTGTATATATATATGGAGTCCGTAATACCATGTTTTTGCTTCTGCTGCTTTCTTGTTTGTATTTATTTGCATTGCTCTAACCTCTCTTTTCTAGAATATTCTTTTTGAATATATAAGACACATAGCAGATCATTGTGACCCAATATTCCTTATCTGCAGTATAATTAAGAGTTTATGTGCTCCGGATTATACGCTGCTTTTTATTTGGATGGAAATACAAATACAACAAGTGAACGGTTTGAAGTGGTGTTTCAATATTTTATTTCATATTTAATAAATTTTTTGGTTGGTACAGCTCAGCAGCCTTGCAAAACAGGATATGCTTGAAAGAACTATGCGCATGTTTAAATAGTGTTTACAAGTAAACGTAGTCACTGCAAGAAATAGAGCACAAGTGCTTTCGGTTTCGCTCAAGGGTAATCTTGCAAAATGTTATTACAATATAAAATAATGGTTTCTATTTTAATATCCTTTAAAATATAATTTATTTCTGTGATGCAAAGCTGAATTTCCATCAGCCATTACTCCAGTGTAAAGTGTCACATGATCCTTCAGAAATCATTCTAATATGCTGATTTATTATTAGAATTATCAACAGTTGTGCTGCCAAATATTTTTTGGGAAACTGCGATGCTTTTTTTCAGGATTCTTTGATGAATAAAAAGTAAAAAAGAACAGCATTTATTGAAAATATAAATCTTTTCTAACAATATAAATTTTTGCTATCACTTCTTATCAATTTAACACATCCTTGCTGAATAAAAGTTTTAATTTCTTTCAAAAAAAAAGAAAGAATAAAAATGGAATGACCCCAAACTTTTGAACGGTAGTCTATATTGTTAGAAAAGATTTCTATTTTAAATAAATGCTCTTCTTTTTAACTTTTTATTCATCAAAGAATCCTGAAAAAGTCCGTATTAAAGATATAAAGGTTAAATTTTCACAGAATGTTCTTTACCTTATGAAGGATGATTTTATGTAGAAAACAGTAAATCACAAAAAATGACTTAAGCTGGGTTTTCACAGAGAGGGTCACAAATATATAGATTTCATAGATGCACAATAATACACAGTTTCACATAAGACAATTTAGTGAAGCAAAAGGATACTAGAACGCATATTGTTCAAGATCTCATCTTATTATTTTTATCATTATTATTATTATCATCATAAGTATATTGTTTATTTTCACATTTCTGAGCGGCGGGAATAAAATAATCAAATAAAAAAATATATTTTATTTGATCTTTTATACTTATTATTATTATATACTTTTATTTTTACTAACAGAACATTAAGACCCAATTGTAAGACAAATGTATTTACATGATATTTAATCAACATTTTTACTATTTATTTATTGGTAAATATGAATTATTGCTTCAGTATTCAATAATAAATAGATTTTATAGGTGTATAATAATGCATAGTTTCACATAAGTCAGTTTTGTGAAGCAAAAGGATAGTACAGTGCATGTTGCTGAATGAACATCTCATCATTTTTTATTTCTGCCATTAATTTGTGCTAAATATGTCCGATGTTTGGATGGCTGTTTAAAGGGGTCATATGATGCGATTTCAATTTTTCCTTTCTCTTTGAAGTGTTACAAGCTCTTGGTGCATAAAGAAGATCTGTAAAGTTGCAAAGACTAAAGTCTCAAATCCAAAGAGATATTCTTTATAAAAGTTCAGAGTCAGCCACGCCTACCTAAAACGGCTCGTTCTAACACGCCCCAACATATCTACATCACTACGTCACGATGTGGGAAGATTTGCATTACGGCGCCCAAATGTTCACGCGCTTCGTCATGCCTAGAGCTGATCCGTGCTGGTCGCTGAGGAAATACAACAACTTTGCGCTGTGGATCACCGGATCGGCTTTCACCGTGGACGAAGCGGAGTCCAGCCTGGGGTCGTCACATGTGGTTGCCACAAGCCCGCCGAATGCTCCTTCGTCAAATCCGCCCGCCCGCCCCCGCCTCCGCTCACTCAAGCCCTCTGGCCGTTCCTCACTCTAGCCCCCGGCCTCTGCTCACTCTGGCCCTCCGGCCGTTCCTCACTCTAGCCCCTGGCCTCTGCTCACTCAAGGCCTCCGTGTGTAACGTTGTGTTTCGTTGTGAAAGCGAAACTACTTTGTTTGGTCTTCCAAAAATGGACACAACTAGAAATCAGTGGTTAAGCTGTATTTACAACACTGTTCCAGAACACTTCAACCCAAATATTCAGATGTGTGCAGCACATTTTATGTAGGACTGTTTCCTGATCCTGGGAGAGTAGACTACAATGCCAGCTGTTCTGACTCACAGACTGTAAGTACGTTTTTTATATTTAAAGAGTTTTTATATTTTATATTTTTTATATTTTAAGAGCACCTCGCTTTTCAGACCGATGAGCTTTGTAAAAATCGATGTGTTTCAGAAAGGGGGGCATAGAGGAGAAACAATAATGTACAGTATGTGGAAAATAATGTGTTTTTTTAACCTTAAACCGCATAAACACATTTCATTACACCAAATACACAAAATAATGTTCTTTTTAGCAACATCATATGACCCCTTTAATGTTGGTGATGTGCTGATGTTTGTCACACAGAGGTGAAGGTGCCGGAGGACACTCAGGAGGTTGGGGCAGCAGTGCTTGTGGTAGGAATTCTTGTGGGATTTTTGGGATTTGTGGTGGGAATCATTATTATCGTAATGAGCAAGATGGAGCTGCGGGCTGAATGATCGTTCACAACATCTGCCCTCAGAAACTCTCAAACAGCCTTCTGTAAATCATCTGTTAATTCTAATTTATTTTAAAATGAATGTAACTATTTATTTAACATTTGAGTCTTATCGTATAATATTTATTAATATATTTACTTATTTATAGCTTATACTTATAGCTCATTTTTAAACATGTTTTCTTTATACATTTAGATTAGGGAAAGAAAATATAAAATATTACTTAATAAATCGCCAGTTTATGGCATATAGACATCGGTTTATCATCCGGGACAACATCCAACCAATAACGTATAAATTGAATGTAACTGGGAGAATTATTTCAAGTTCACCCCTATTGATGACCCATTTGAAGACTCACTCAATACTTTAGGGATTTCTGTAACAGCTCTCATATCATCACTCATGTGCAAACAGTTTCAGTTATTGTGGTGCATCAGTTATGCTGATGCATATTCATCCTTCAGTTCAGATTGCCGTTATGAACTAAGCAGATCAGGTAATGAATTTATTTAGAATTTGGGCTCTGACAGCACCAGATAGGCAGGCATGTGGGGAGGGCAAAGCTTGATTGCATTAATTAAATTAGGGCTGGATAATCCTCCTAGACCGTGTTCACGTTTGCAGTGATTCCTGATTTAAAGTGCTGCTCTCTTTGAGCGCAAAAACTACAATTTAACAGAAGTGCATTACACACACACACACACACATTACGCACTAATGGCATCAGTTGATAATAATGTGGTACTTTTGAATGATATCAGATGATTACCACCATATTCATAAACTGATGCATTGACATGAGTAGCTTTTTTTTTGTCAAAGGTGAAGTGCTGACATGCATGAGCCACTAGGTGGCGCTGTGTTCCTTCAGTACTTGGCTTGTTGGTTTGTTACCTGATTTGACTTTAGTAAACAAACCTAACATGCTACTCTAAAAGTCCAAGGTTATATGGTCACTTTGGTCTTTTTCTCTCATCTAAATCTAAAAATGTGGCCTGTTTTAAGACAGACATTTTAAGACGTCTATACATTATTCATTGCCCTCGTCTGTCTACATCACTGAAGTGTCATTAGTGTTTTCTGGTAATGGACGCGGCATTGATTTCATGTGCTGTGGGAGTCTGTGCATGTGTTTGCGCTTGTAGTCCCAAAGAGCTTCATGGAGGTCATTTATACACCATCCAATGATTTACTCACAAGTGCTTTTTGTTAGTCTGACAGCTATTTAGGATTGTGGCACTGCATACCAGATAAGATACTATCCACGGTATCCATATGTCTCGCGTTATAGGAGTGAACGGGTGCCGTCAGAGTTCAAACAGCTAATAAAAACACCAGTGGTCCACACCACTCTAATCCATCAATTAACATCTTGTGAAGCTAAAAGCGGCGTGTTTTGTAACGCCTGTTTCACTCATACTCCGTTTGCAGTGGGTATTTCCCCCCCCATGTTAACGGATTAGAGCGTTTACACTGCGGATGCGGTTCCAGAAGCGGTGCAGAAGTCTGTTATAAGTGACAGCACATTGTTCGTGGTAAAAATGAACATGGATTGACACGAAAATGTAGTAATTACACCATATGCATACAATTAAAGTCTGTGTATCACCGGCAACACATATGGCTTCTTGGCTAGGTTTAAAGCAAGGAAAAGAGCACTAAACAAGGCAATAATAGATGGCACTCGTGGAGGTAGGGAAACAAAGCAAGTTCTTTATGAACCGCAGGATTGCTTGTAATAAAGATTTAAACGCGAAAGAAAAGGCAGGAGAGCTGTCAGTGGTTAGTTTTAATTTGTGATAGCAAGAAAAGTAGGTTAAATGCTCACTTGCTTGTGCAAATTAATAGGCCTATATAAATCTAGAAGTAAAACACAATGAATAATGCGCCGCTTTAAACGTGAATATGTCTATGAAAGATTGCATTACTGCACTGTGTAAAAAGACAAATACGATGCTGAGAAAGATTTGGATAAATGTTGGATTTCAAAATAATGGATAAATGTGGTGTTTGTGGTAAACAGCCGCAGATCAGTAGCGGACTGTAAACGCGTCCCGTGTGAAAGCAGAACGAGTCCGTGCTGCTTCTGCACATGCACACTGCAAACGGAGTGTGTTTGTGAACCTGGCATAAAGCGTTTTTAACTTCAAACCGTTGCGTCCGGCTAAAATACGAGTCCTCCATCTTTCTCCAGTGAAAAAGTCGTCTTGTCTGAATCAGAAGAGAAATCTGCACAGCTCAAGCTCTGTTTACAAGCAAAAAAGAGTAACAAATATGTGGGTGGATTTTGATGTGAGAGGACAACAGGAGATTTGATGGAAGCGTTATTATGAATTATGGACTCATATTTTGGCCAAAAGCAACGGGTTAAAGTTAAATCGTGGATTTCTTTCTTTTCTTCTAACTTTTTACTTCACAAGATGTTAACTGATGGACTGGAGTGGTGTGGATTATTGTGATGGTTTTATCAGCTGTTTGAACTCTCATTCTGACGGCACCCATTCACTGCAGAGGATCCACTACACTGGTGAGCAAGTGATGGAATTGCTAAATTTACCCAAATCTGTTCTGATGAAGAAACTCATCTTGGGTGGCCTGCGGGTGAGTGCATTTTCAGCAAATGTTCATTTTTGGACGAGCTATTCCATTATCTTGGGGTCAATAATGAGGTTTAATTCATTGTTTGTCACACAATGTATCTGACAAGCATATGAGAAGCATAAGATGTTGTGTGCCCATAATGTTATTTATTATTATTTTTTAATTAAATACACTAAAAAGTATATACTTTCCTATAGTACATAAGTGTATGCATTGTGATGCAACCTGACCGAGAAATGTTGCTAGTTTCATTCTGACTTCTGTGGAGCCATAAAATGTCTACGCATGACATCTGAACACACTCTTCACATTTCTCCCGATTATCATGCAATTACAATTTGCATGAGGAAAACAAAGCCTATTTAAAGAGCATTAAGATTTTTTGCACTGTGAAAGTATTTTGGTAACAATTAAGCACATTCCTTACTTTAATGTGTCCAGACATTTTAAAAAACAAAATTGTATTTTGCATTAAGAAAATGAAACCTTATGTTCATGATCATTAAGGTTTTTTTTTTTTTTTTAGCATCGAGGCACTAATTTCATGACAATTAAGTGCATTTACCCAAATGATAATCTAATGAGAATCATCTTTGAGAAAAATGCTAATTACAAAAAACTCCTCAAACGGTTTAATTCATTGTTTGTCACACAATGTATCTGACAAGCATATGAGAAGCATAAGATGTTGTGTGCCCATAATGTTATTTATTATTATTTTTTAATTAAATACACTAAAAAGTATATACTTTCCTATAGTACATAAGTGTATGCATTGTGATGCAACCTGACCGAGAAATGTTGCTAGTTTCATTCTGACTTCTGTGGAGCCATAAAATGTCTACGCATGACATCTGAACACACTCTTCACATTTCTCCCGATTATCATGCAATTACAATTTGCATGAGGAAAACAAAGCCTATTTAAAGAGCATTAAGATTTTTTGCACTGTGAAAGTATTTTGGTAACAATTAAGCACATTCCTTACTTTAATGTGTCCAGACATTTTAAGTTTGAGGAGTTTTTTGTAATTAGCATTTTTCTCAAAGATGATTCTTATTAGATTATCATTTGGGTAAATGCACTTAATTGTCATGAAATTAGTGCCTCGATGTATATTTCTGTAAATAGAAAAAAAAAAAAAAACCTTAATGATCATGAACATAAGGTTTAATTTTCTTAATGCAAAATACAATTTTGTTTTTTAAATGAAATATGACCTGTGCAATGCCTCTATTAGAAACTGTAGTTTTGTCTTGGGGCTTTGCTTCATTAAGCAATAAAGAAGCTGACAGATATTATAGCAAATACAACTTTCAAAACAAATCAAATATAAATCATATTTATTATATTATACAAATTGTACAGATGACATTATCATGTTGTTTGTCCTTACAAACAATGAAAAACATTGATCAATGTTCACAATGGCACAACAGTGGCTGACAATCAAAGAAGCAACCTGCAAATATGTAGGCAGAAATGGTGAAATCCTTTAAGATATACAGTACAAGCTTGCTTTACTCATCTCACTGGCCGGGGGGTTGAGAGGGGAAATGCAGCATGTTTGACTCTTTTATCTTCTGAAAAGCAAGAAAACCAACAGGAAAGGGACCACAAAATTAGGTGCACATGCTTAAATGTGCATTAGTAGCTACAATGATCCTCCCCTGCCACTGCAGGATACATTAAAATCCATTATATAACTGATGAACTGGCACATTTCTTAGTATACAACACGCACACACACACACACACACACACAAAAGAAAAACTACAGCGGACGAGGTCAACCGCTGCATGAGTCACAGGAGAGGAGGGTAAATATTACTCAGCATCATTTCGTTGATCCTGCCTCACTTTCTTCCACATCCTTGTTTTTCCCTAACAGCTCGTTTGACGCGGACTCACCAACCCACGGACTGATCCGACTGATCCTGCGAGCCCAGACTGGACTTACCATCCATAAACTTTCTGATGTCCTGCCTGCTATTGTGTGCATTCGAATCTACACGGTGGGCGGTAAAGATCACGCATGTTCACTTTCACACACTAACCATTCATCGCTGCCAGCTAAACCAGATAACAGTAAGTCTTAAAAAATATGTAGCTGCTGTGTGTTTGTTTAACAGGGTTTGAGTTAGGAACAAAGGCTGTGTTTGAAATAGCATACTATTATACTACTATTTCTGCATAATTATTAAGTTAAGGTCAGTTTTGCACTGAATATAGTCACCTCTGGCTTATAACTTTATTTTATGCTGTTTCACATTCTATTAAAGCAATACATTCTAAAAAATGCTGGGTTAAAAAGGGACCAACCCAGCTATTGGGTTGTTTTGACCCAGCGGTTGGGTTCAAAACAACCCAACCGCTGGGTCAAAACAACCCAATAGCTTGGTTTGTCCCTTTTTAACCCAGCGCTGGGTTATATTTAACCCAACATTTTTTTAGAGTGAATAGGCGGCGGCATACAGCATATACTGTGCAATACGCATTAAACTAGTATTCTGTTCCAAACACAGTCAAGGAACTCAATCTAGATAACCCAAGCTTATCAGAGCAGATGCTGACAGTAGAGCATTATGCATACTAACACATACTGTAACATAATTGCTATCTGTCAGTGATAAGCAGGCCCACACACAATCAGCGCCTACAGATGTCAGCAGGAATTGGATCGCCCTTCATTCACAAACTCTGCACATTGTGTGTTCCTTTATTGGGTAATTTGAATGTTTTTGTAGAACTCACAGCTCTAACACATTCCACAGATTTGACCACCTCAGAAATCCTACAGATTCCACCTGTTATACGCAACAAATACATCTGTATGTAAGCTGAGATTGAACATGTTAAACTGAAAATAGGATGATCAGAATGTCTTTTCGTCTCTGGTTGAATCGTCAGAGCAGCTCCGTCTTTCCCCTGTATTAAAACAATAAACAAGGCCTTTCCCCTCCAGCTACAGTCTAACAACAGCACTGTGACAAAGCGCAATTATAATGACAACGTGTCAGAAACCGCTCAGAAAAAGAACGAGAACAGCCTTCGTGTAAGTGCAAAATGAATTTCTTTAAAGCATACGCGGACAGATTGAAAACGGCATCTTTTATTAGGGAGTTGAAATGCTGATGTCCTTTCTGATGAGGCCGAGTGGTTCAGACGTTTGTCACAGCAGAAGTGGGGAGCGGGAAAGCTATTATGATTTTAAACCCCTTTGGCCGTTAGAGCTAATGCAGACCCCCGCAGAACCGCACATACGCCGTCCCTCAAGACCACATGCTGGAAAAACCCTGACACTGCGAAGCCAGATTATAAATACGGCCAAACATAACAATGCTGACTTAATGGAAATACATATGCAGCTCAGGTGAGGTGTACAGTGGAACAAACATCAACATGAAATCAAAATAGCCATTTACTTTCTTAAGGTGCAGTAGTGGAATTTTGGGTGTAAAAACAGGTCCACTGTAAGTAGCATAGAGATGTATGAATTATTACTTACACAGAAGTCACTTTAATTTTCAAGCGACCAACTTGATCATGAGTGAAATCTGCATAGGACAATTGGGGGACTTTAATGTGACCGCACCTTAATGCACATTTCTTGATGGATTCGTCCCACTAATAGTCTTTCTGTGAAATGTTTTGCTTGTAAAGTTTGCTTGCACTCTCCCAACTAACAAAGTATGTTCTACGAACGTTTTTTAACGTGCCCATTAAGTTATAAAAAGTTTAAATTTTTTTCGGAATGTTTTCTGAACGTTCCAAACATCCATTCCTTTTTAGATGTTTTAAAAACATTTTTGATATGTGAATGTTAAGGGAACGTTCCATTTTAGAATTTTGCAAACATTATGGGAATGTTACTTTCAAATGTTCTCTAAACATTCTGAAACAAGTTACATTTAAAAATGTTCGCTGAACGTCCAACTAAAACGTTTCATGAAAAAAAATCCATAAACGATGTATACTGTTTTTGTGCTAACTTTTTGAGAACATTATTTAAAAAACAGATAACTTGGAACGAACGTTCTGTTAATGTTACTGGAATAATGTTACTGGAATAATGTTTGTTGATAACAATGTTCTCTAAACATGCTGAAACAAGTTACATTTAAAAATGTTCGCTGAACGTCCAACTAAAACGTTTCATGAAAAAAAATCCATAAACGATGTATACTGTTTTTGTGCTAACTTTTTGAGAACATTATTTAAAAAACAGATAACTTGGAACGAACGTTCTGTTAATGTTACTGGAATAATGTTACTGGAATAATGTTTGTTGATAACTGAGAAAACCTTGACAGAACATTCTGATAATGTTTCCTGGAGTTTAAAATAAATGCCATTTAGTTAGATATTTTAACTAATGCAATAACATTCAGACATTTTAAGGTGCGTTCACCTTTACCTTTGTTCAGCGAATTTTCACAAATGAAATCAGAGCATACGCAAAATGCGCAAGCTGTGTAGGTCCTCCGAAACACCAGGGGGCACCCTTGCTCTCAAAGATTATTTAATTTTAGTTTTGTTTTTGAATTTAGCCAGTGGTTATGAAAACATGAATGATTATTTCATTTAATAAGGTGCGATGTCGCCCTTTATTCGTAAAAATCAGTCAAATCATGTAATGTGAATGTCGTATAGTCTTTGCGCGAGACTAAAAAAACGAGTTTAAAGCGTACCAAGCCGCGGAAGAGACACTGTTTCTCAAGCGCTTTCCGCGAGCACGATTCGAGACGGAGTGAAACACGGACAAATGCGTTTCCTGCATTCGTTCATAATCACTCATAAACGCCATAAATAATATTGTAGAGTTGCGCTTGTTGTTTGTCGTTTCTCCGATCACAAATGCAGACATGGTTTTATGTTTACGCGGTGCGATGCAATGCATAAAAAGACAGTATAAGTCATTATAATCCGTAATTATGTCCCCACTGGATGCAACAAATTAGGGCTGCATGATAAATCGAAATGGAATCGAGATTGCGATTCGACAGAAGCTGCGATTGTCATGTGTATCTTTCAGTGAAGCACGGTTCTGTGATCAGCAGTAAATTTCAATCGAAAGGCCAGAGGGCGCTCTCGCGCTGAAACTCCAAATACGCCTCGCAGAAGAAACCCAGAAAATGCCTATCGCTGCAGCTGAATAAACAGAAGATTCAACTGCTTTCATTGATTCAACGTGACTAATAAACACACGACTATGGCAATATACGGTTTATCTGAGTTCTTATTATTATAATTTTCATTAAAATAAAGTATATTTATAATGCAATGCCTTTATCACTGCTTAAATACTATGAAATATGTTGCGTGCCTTATTCTGTGTAAGAAGCCACATCATCTCACAGAAGGATTTATTTCAAACACTCGACTGACGTTATGAAGTGAGTTTGGAGTAAAAATATGTTATTAAATGTGGTATTTTCACATGCTTTCAGATGGAGCAGCATTTACTACACAGAGCCGTAGTTCACTGAGAAGCTATGCAAACAGCTTTCATAATCGCGAATGATTTCTTCGATTTCATAATCGCGCAATAAAATCGTCTGCGATTTTTTTGCTTAACTTGTCAGTGAACTACGGCTATGTGTATTAAATGCTGCTCCATCTGAAAGCACGTGATGATGATTTCCTGCTGATTACAGAACCGGCTTTACTAACAAAATGCACATAACAATCGCATTCGATTAATCGTGCAGCCCTAGTGAGGTGTTTGCATGACAGTTTACCTGTCTGAAACCGTGAGCTACACTTTCGTCTTGAGTATCTAAAGATCAATAAAACAAGACATGTTTAGCCTGCATTTGCAAACTGAACTTGTTTTAAGGATGTTTCGATACTGGAAAACAAGACAAAATATCGATCAGCAAAGTGATTTTTTTTGCAGCGTAGCAATTAGAACATTCATAAAGGTCCACTTCCATTGGCCTGGTGGGTGTGAGTGCGTCCTCAATCCTGATTGGCTGAGCTGTCTTCCTGTTTGTCCACCTCATCGTCCTGTAGTCCTGTTTCTTGTGCTGTAGGTGAGGACTCGTCTTGACACGACCCCATTTCAGCTTTTGTTTTCACACTACGCTCTTCCTCTTTAACATCTACCTCATCCTTAGCATTTCCATCTCTCTCGCTATTTCCGGCCACCGCTTCTTGTTTTTCCCTGCCTGCTCCTACCGTCCCTTCCTGTGTCTCGTTCCCTTCCTCTCTGTCCTCTTTCTGTTCACTCTGCACTTCAGCATCAGCCTCATTATTCTGGTTTGCCTCCCATCGTTCATTCACACTTGTATTTGTCTCTTCAGCGCTCTTCTCGGCTCCATCACATTGCTTTTGATCACTTATCTCTTTCTCTACGGTGGACGTAGAGTCTTTCTTCTTCTTGTTCTTTGGTGCGTCTTTGACCGAGTTCTTGTTGGACTTGTTCCGTGCTTTAAAGATGACTTTCTGAAACCGAAAACATTGACAGAGAGTTTTAATACTTTTTTTTATGGGATGATAATGAGATGCAGGTAAATATTTAATGAATTGCTTCTTTAAAATAGCAAACGTATACTTGGTTGTAATGCTGTTTCATCATTTGATCATCATTTAATGAATCACTGCTTCCATGATAAATAAAAAATTTACTTTTGAGCTAAATTCTGTTTACCTACTGTCTTGTTCTAAATCTGAATGAAATATAATCACATGATTTCATCTTTTTTTTAACCCTTAGTAAACCTTTTCAAATAACAAACAGGCATCATCAATGTTAAACAAACCCACAATAAATCCATGTTTATCCATTTAAGCACTGAAAGTCCAGCAGTAGAAACGTTAATGACAGATGTCACTGGCTCTTCTCACTGTGATTGGCTGCCCCCTGCCACTTTTCTGGCTTTCATTTGCATAAACTATTTTTTAACTTTAGTTTTTAACCCTGTTTCCTTCAAGTAGAGTACAGATCACTGTGATTTGTAAATGCTCAAAACCTGATTGTTGCTGTATTGCACTTATGAATATGTGAGATGATGCTTATATAAAAGCAGTACACACAAAGCTGTGGTGTCCTCGTGCAACCGCAAGATGCGTGAGATGTATGCCATGTGGAATTTTTATTTTCGGAAAAAGTGCATTTAGATTCTCACATCAGTTTGTTATGGTTGAGAATACAAATTCACATATTGAACTGATGATGACAAGTGTGACGGGTTGATTAAAGCTTAGCACAGTTCATTTGCATTGGCCCTTTCTTCCCAAAAAATGTAAAAAGACAACACTGGCGTGTAAGTAAATATCATCAGGAAAGCCAAACACGCAGTAACACCCGCTATACACACACTCGCTCTGGTTTTCTTTGAAGTGACATGGAGCTAAATCTTTGTTTAAATTATGCATTGTTCTGTTCAAGCGTCTTGTGCTTTCTGCTCCATTTTATGTGGAGCTTTAAGGAAATGCCTGACGCCGGCACTGAACCCTGTAAAAACACTTGGTGTGTGACTTTGGCTGCTAACACAAACTACGTAGATGTTTTTAGTCAAGAAGCAGAGAATGAGAGGAATATGATAACTGTGTGTGTGTGTGTGTGTTTGACAGCAGTATGTCAGTAATGCGGCTGGAATAAGAGGTTACACACCTTGGATTCCTTCTTCTTGCGAGGCAGCACTGGTCTCTGGAGGAAAACGATCTGCTTGGTGGCCAAACTGCCATCACTGGATGAGAGAGAGGAAACCATTCAGTTAGTGATCTAGGTATGATTATACGTCAATAATGATCAAACTGCTTGTTTCAGGTCCAATCATCTTGACCAAAAGTGCCCAAAATTTTCTGCGAAGGGCCAAAAATGTATTCAAAAATGGTCTTTTTTTAAATATTACAAAAGTTGTATACACACACACTTACACACACACACACGTCTGGTTTGCTATCCTTGTGGGGACTCTCCATAGGCGTAATGTTTTTTCTACTGTACAGACCATATATTCTATCGCCCTACACCAACCCTACACCTAAACGTACCCCTTACAGGAAACTGTCTGCATTTTTAGATTTTCAAAAAACTTAATTCTGTGTGACTTTATTAGCTTGTTTACCCGTGGGGACTTCAATTTAGGTCCCCACCATGACACGAGTCCCCATGGTAATGAATGTACAAGCCTTCGGTACGGCGTGATGCATAGCAATGAGAAGCCGCCCTGTGTGTGGAAATATAAGAGTGCAGATTACAAACAAACTCATCTGCATTCAAAAAAGTGCTGTGGAATTACCTTGTTTGTTCGGCAAGACGACTTCTAGTTGTTTGTGATTACTGGAGGACTTTGTCATTTTCTAGAGATTATGCTTACAAAGAATGGATTTCTAACTCATCAAGAATTTTAGAGTTGAGCGTGACAAGAAAAAATATATATTTAGTGCAGAAATTTCCATTACTTTTTCATAATAAAAAAAAAAAGAAAGAACCTAGTTTTTCCATGACAGTTTTTGCAGAAATACGACTCTTATAGCTAAATAAATAATGATTTAATACTGCAAAATAAATAATTATTCATTTTGCAGTAAGAACAGAATAACTTGCGTTCAAAATATTTGTCTGTAAATGTTTCTCTCTCTTATGCTCACAAAGGCTGCATTTATTTGTGCATCTAAAATGCAGTAAAACAGAAATATTGCAATGTGAAATATCTGTTCCTTATTGTAATATATTTTAAAATGTAATTTATTTCTGTGATCAAAGCTGAATTTTCAGCATCATTACTCCAGTCTTCAGTGTCACATGATCCTTCAGAAATCATTCTGATATGTTGATTTGCTGCTCAGGAAACACTTCTTTTTATTATTTATTAATGTTGACAACAATTATATTTTTAAGGAAACCTTGATACAGGATTTTTTGATTAATAGAAACTTCAAAAGAACAGCATTTATTTGAAATAGAAATCTTTAACATAATAAATATATTTACTGTGACTTTTGATCAATGCATACTTGCTGAAAAAAATCTTACAGATCTTAAACATTTGAATGATACTGTACTGTTTGTAGTTTGCTTGTCATTGACTTTTGTTACCATGAATAATAAAACTGGATCTTCACCAACACTGGTATTCATAGTACTACAAGCTTTACCCATATGTTACCATATTATATTTTGCCTCGCAGGAAAACAAGGCCAGCCTTCTCCAAGACACTGAAAAGTGACGGTTCCGTAGTATCTAGGACAACGTTTTGATTAATTAGCTACATTGCTGCTGTTGTGAGTTGTGGTATTTTGTGAAAGTTTAAAATAGGCCCGTAATTAATCAGCAGGGACTTCAGGACGGATAGAAGAATGACGTGTGAGAGAAAGGCCAACATGGGATCGGCCCAGCGCAGGCGTGGGTATGACAGATGGAGATTACTTCAGTTCGACATCGCCGGGAGCTTCCGCTTGCCATTACAGGAATCATCAGTTCGCTTGTATTGACATTCCATTACGGCGAGCAAACGGTGGAGTTCTGCCCCGTACTGCCTGTGCCAGTCATTACATCTGACTCCATGAGGCCCGCAGAGCTCTTTATACCCCGAGCACTTTGTCACGGTTGGAGTTCAGGACGTACCATTACTCTGTGTGGGTTGTACAATTCTTTTTTATGTTCGAAATGGCGCCCCATGAGGTGTTTACACAAAATCAATTGATGGCTTTATGTTTCCTACCTCTAAAGCCTGTTCACACTCAAAGGCTTTGAAACCTAGTCGTATTATTGGTCGTAATTATTTTTTTGTAATTGAAATAAATGATGTAAATGTATGTATGTGTGTGTGTGTATACACAGTTTTTGTTTTATCCAGCTGTATTTACTCAGTGCAACTTAACATCCAAGTGAAAACACCAAAATGTCAGAAAAAATAAATAAATCTGAATCACCGAGTTGGAAAAAGGATCACCCCCTTATGTCAGTATTTTGTTGAACCACCTTTTGCTTTAATTACAGTCTTTAGTCTGTTTGGATTGGTCTCTACTAACTTCTAGACTTTGCTCACTCTTCTTTGCAGAACTGCTGAAGTTTGGTTAAATTTGATGGTGGGCGTTTGTGGACTGCAGTCTTCAAGTCATTCCACAGATTTTCAGTGGGGTTTAAGTCTGGGCTCTGACTAAAGGCAATGCAGGGGCATTCAGCTTTTTCTCCTTCAACCACTGTGTGCTCAGTTCTGCTGTGTGCTTTGGGTCATTGTCATGTTGGAAGGTAAACCTTCTTCCCATTGACAGCTTTCTGGCAGA